TAAGCGGCTGTATGGTTTGAGGATAGTGTGAGATGGAAGTTCGGAAAAACTTGCCAATAAGGAGATCGCGTTCTCGTAATGTTGCCAACAAGCCTTAGGGAATCAGGTTGGGGATTCCAGTCAGGACATGAGTTCAGCTGAGTGTAGGTCAAGCGCATGTTCGATCCATATAGTGTTAGAGTGTTGTAAGTCTGCGGGTGTAGCCGTAGCATTCACTAGCAGCCAGACAGTGTTAGAGTGTTGTAAGTCTGCGGGTGTAGTCGTAGCATTCACTAGCAGCCAGACATTGTTAGAGTGTTGTAAGTCTGCGGGTGTAGCCGTAGCACTCACTAGCAGTCGGATAGTGTTATAGTGTTGTAAGTCTACGGGTGTAGTCGTAGCATCCACTAGCAGTCAGGTAGCGCTAGAGTGTTGTGAGACTGCGGGCGTAGCCATAGAATACACTTGGCTAGTAGACAACATGCGCGAGTTGTTAGGACGCGGAAGGAACAATAGTACCCACCAGTTCGGGTGTAGCAGTAAGGATATGGAAATCCATGGATTGGATTTTTGGGATTATCTGGATGGATTAGATCTAGTTGAGCCAGTGATAGGACTGTAGGGACGCCACTGCAGTTTCGAGACCGAGGAAGCAATGAATTGCTAAAGGTTGCTTGTAATACAAGGCTACAATTGGTCATGTAGCAATCGTGTTTAGCTGTGGGTTGGTAACCTCAGGATTCGACGTGTGGAATCGATCAGTTAGATCAGAAGGCCGCTAGGGCCATAGTGACAAGATAACTAGTAGTTGTTAGTTTCAGAGAAGGATTTCGTTCAGAAGTTGAGTGAGGCGACTAAGTAGGGAGTCCTTGGGGCTCCGCAGTCGGGCGGGAACCCGGTATTTCAGATGACTGACGAATGAATTGAGACCAGGAAGGTCTCGATAGATGTTGGAAAACAGCCATGTAGCAGCATGCTGTTTCAGGAAGTTCAGTGTTCAGGCAGTTCAGTGTTTCGGGCAGTTCAGTGTTTTACGCAGTTCAGTGTTCAGGCAGTTCAGTGTTTTCAGGCAGATCAGTGTTTCAGACAGTTTTTGGTCTCTAGCGGTAATGGTAACTGAGGATCTCATGTATGGTAAGTGTAACAGATTGCTGAGTAATGCTAAGTTACTCACCGCGGGGTTCATCTATAATGATTCAGTATGAGTGGTCTGTTAGGGATTCAGTAATCTAGAGACAGCAAATTTCAGACAGAGTACATGTAATCTTGTTGCGAGGTATTCGTTCACCTGAGGATTTTAGGGCTTTACGAAGATTGGTCACGGCTACCCTGGGAAGCCTAGGGTGTGCTCATGATGGTGACCATGTTACTAGAGTGGTTGGGCGTGTAAGGAATGATTTCGAGGACGAAATCTAATTTAAGTGGGGGAGAGTTGTAACACCCCGTTTATTTATTTAATAAATAAATAAATTCGATGAATGAATCGTAGCCCAGAAATCAGTAATTATATGGCAGAGTGTTGGTCTCGAGGGGTTAATTGTCAGTTTTAGAAGTTTGGGGTTAAAAGTGTAAGTTCTGGGATTTATTTTGTGAAGATTTTTAGAAGACAAGGGGTATTTGGTAAATTCTGGGCCAAATATGAAAAGGATTGGTGGGGGGAGGGGCTATATTGTAAATCTCGGACCTAATTTGTAATGTATTTAGATAACATGGGTTAAAAAGGTAATTATCGGATTTAATTGAAGAAGATTTCCAAATCCAGGGTAAAAAGGGTAAATATTGGATTAAATGTGAAGAAATCTTATGGGGAGGGACCAATTCTGCCATTATGGCAACTTGGTTATGGAGTCGGGTATATAAGTGTAAGGAACCCTAACCCTAAAGGAAGGAATCAGCTGTCACCCTCCTTATGCCTCCCTCGCTGGCCGCCACTCCCGTTTCTTCACCTCCGGTCGCCGCCACGTCCCATTCCCATCCTCCCTCCGCCACAGCAACCCGATCGTCGCTAGGTGCCGCCACATCGCTGTTGCTGGAAGCGAATGAGAAGCCGGAAAGCTGATGAGAGAGGCCGAGATCGTCGTAGCCGCCGCCCCCGACCGTCAGATCCTGCTGTCGCTACTCCTTCGTCACCAAGGAACCACGACGTCGCTGATGTTGGGTTCTAGTCGGAGGCTAGGCGCATTTCGTTGTCGTCGTTTGCTGCTGTCGTTCGGAAATCGCTACATCCCGCCGACGCCTCCATAAGCCACCTGCCACCGTGAAATGGTGGCTGGGTTGGTGGTCTCGTGAAGCTGGTTTCGTATTAGAGTGTTGGAGGCGTGTGTTTCGATGGTCAGGACTGCAAGAGGGTCCTTTGGCCGGAGTTATAAAGAAAACCCCACTGCCACCACCGAGAGGTTGTGGCTGTTGTCCTTAACCGCCGGCCGCCGCCGGCCACCGCTAGGTCATTGCTTATGTGTGTTTGTATTGATGTGTGTGTGTTTGATTATTGCAGTTAGCATTGTAAAATGTATCTAGAAAGAAGGATAATGAAATGAAATTGAAAACCGCCACCTTAGGGTGGTGGCCGCCGCCGTGAGCCGCCATTGACCACCACTACCCGAGGTGGTAGTGGATGGTGCCCCGCTAGCAAACCCTAATTGCCCTAGCAAAACCCTAATGGGCTTAAAGATTTATTTTGGGCCTGTTGGGCCATGTTTGGGTGAAAACCCTAACTAGGGTTTAGAAAACCCTAATCTTGAGTAATTGGGCCTTGGACTTATTTGGGCCCACATTTGGGCCATTGGAAATGGATTTATGTATGAAGCCCAAATCACTCCATATCACTTATCTAGTAGAGTAAAGGACTTAATGGATTAAGTCCTTAATGGGTTAAGTAAGAAATACTTAACCCTAATTATCATTTTATGTGAAACCCTAATTTCACTTGGGCTTTGTGTTGGGCCATCAAAGAATAATCAAATGGACTAGAGTAATTAGTTGGGCTTTAGGGTAAGGCCCATATGAAGGATTGGGCCCTATTTGGAAAATTAGGCCATTGATGGGCCATAGTTTGGGCCTAGATGGTTGTATGATATTGGGCCCTTAGAATGAGACATGTTGGACTGGACTGAACTATTGGGCCTTAAGGGAAGTCCATGTAGAGGTTTGGGCCCAATTTGGAAAGTTGGGCCATATGTTGGACTTTGATCCCTAGTTGACTTTGGGCCTATGGATTGAGCCTTGGGCTTGGGTAAGCCAAGCTAGGGGTAATGTAGTAATTATCCAAAGTATGCATTTATAGTTATGTGTTAGAACCCAATTATTAATTGGGTGTTATTTTGGTGTTGACAGTTCGGGAATCTGTCATCCAGCAGCTGGGGTTGAGTCTGCGGGACTTCAACAGTATGGGATTGTGTCTACGGGACTTCAGCAGTGTGATGTGAGTTTCCTTCCAGTAAGAACGGGTCTACGGCCACAATGCCGGCCCATTTAGTTAGCAGTAGTTTCGGACTTTGGTCTGATGCAGTAGTTCAGTGTGCTTGATGTCTTTGTGATTCTAGCATGTCCTTGTGTTATGTGTTCTGGACTTCGGTCTGATGTAGTATGTAGTATATGTGTTTATGCTAGTAGTTATGATTATGCTATGCTATGTTCAGTCAGTTCCGGACTTCGGTCCGATGCAGAGGGCAAGGCCCTGGTTAGTTCCGGACTTCGGTCCGATGCAGTTTTCGGACCTCGGTCCGCTGCAGAGGGCAAGGCCCTGGTTAGTTCCGGACTTCGGTCCGATGCAGTTTCCGGACTTCGGTCCGATGCAGTGGGCGAGGCCCTAGTTAGTTCCGGACTTCGGTCCAATGCAGTGGGCGAGGCCCTAGTTAGTTCCGGATTTCGGTCCGATGTAGTGGGCAAGGCCCTAGTCAGTTCCGGACTTCGGTCCGATGCAGTGGGCAAGGCCCAGTATGTGTTTTATATGTTATTGTATGGTATGTGGTAGTTTGGGGAGACTCACTAAGTTTCGTGCTTACAGTTTTCAGTTTTGGTTTCAGGTACTTAGTTTTCAAAAGAGGAGCTCGGGACGATTGCAGTGCACACACCATTTGTTCGCCTGGGATGTTTATACTCTGATATACATGACAGTTGTTATATTATTCTGAGATACATTGTTGTGATTTTTCTATGACGTATGATGACTATGGTTTATTACTGATTTAAAACGAAATTTTCAGACTGTATTTTTGGGATGTTACAACTTTGCCCATTCTTTTTTACCCATTTTGACACTTTTGGTCATTGGAATTAAAAAATTTTCATTTTTTAGGAACCTTTTAATATTCAAAGTTTGGCCACAAAACGTTAAGAAAATGACGACTTTGGTCCCTTTTTAAAAACTTGCTAATTTCAAACCCTTTAATTCTTTAGCCATTTTTACACTTTTGATTTTGACACTTTTGGTCATTGGAATCAAAATTTTTACATTTTTTAGGAACATTTTAATATTCAAATTTTGGCTACAAAACTTTAAGAAATTGACAACTTTGGTCCATTTTCTAAAAACTTGCTAATTCAAACTCATTTAATTCTTTAGCCATTTTGATACTATTGGTCCTTACAGTCAAAACTTTTACATTTTTTCATAAAAAAACACAAAAAACGGCCCGGGGCAAAGCCCGGATTTTTCCGCTAGTTAAAATTAAATGTATATTTCATTGATAGTATTTTTTTTCAAAAATAGTTATATTCTTCGATAATCAATAACCAAAGCTATATTAATATGGACATAATATAGATATCATATGTACATGTCATCTGTAGAGCATAGATTATACAAAGAGATTTATTAAATATTTCCAGAAATTATCTGAAAACGAATGATACATTTTTTTAAAATCAAGTGCCATTCAAATTTGCCACGTGTTGTTGCTTCAAATTATTAATTTTAAATTTATTTTATTTTTGAATTAAAATATATTTATCTATTATGTACCTCTCTATATAAATGCTTTATCTTCAACTTTTAGTTTAAACTTCTCCAACTAATAGCAATGGAGCAAGATCCCGACGCGCCACCCAACTTCTGGTTCCAACCAACACTCGCAAACAATCGCCGCCGTACACCGCTCATTGACCCTGTTGTACTGATCATAATTCTGCCCATCATTGCAATGCTCTTCCTCTTCTTCTTCCTCCCACCAGTTCTATTCCATACTTCACATATCCTAAAACCAAGTTCTGTAAAGTCCACCTGGGATTCCCTTAACATTTTCCTTGTACTTTTTGCGATTCTTTGCGGTGTTTTGGCTCGAAGAAATGATGAAGTTTCGTCCTCCGGGGACGTCGCCGATCAGGCGAACGGTTTGGTAGCAGAGAGCAGGAATAGTGCGGAGTCGTCGGGTCAATGGGTCTCGTTTTCGGATCGGAAAGTGGTGACGGGTGGAATGAGAAGTAGCAGTTCGTATCCGGATTTGAGGAAGGAGCCGTTGTGGGAGAACGGTGATAATCGGAGTCGGTTTTTTGATGATTTTGACGTCGATATTTATTCGTCGCCGGTATCTGGGTATTATAACAACCTTGCGCGGCGGATCGGTAGGGAGAAAGGGAAGGCAAGGGAGAATTTGTATCAATCCACGCCTGTTTCCGGTGATATTCATCAGCGATTAAGGCGGAGTGAAGCGGATCGGGGTGAGTTTTCTGAAGTGAAGGAAATTGTTGTGGATACTTTTGAGATTACACCAAGTGCTTCGGATTTTCGGGAACAGGTATCTGTGACGCCTCCTCCTCCACCGCCGCCGCCGCCTTCTGCTTTGCCGGCGAATTCGAGGAGGCATTCGTTCAGAAGTGTTGGACGGAAAGTAATGGTTGAAAATCAGAGGAAAATTGAATCTGATGAGTTGGATAAAGTGAAATCCTATCATCCTCCCCCATCACCCCCGCCGCCACCTCCACCACCACCACCTCCTCGGCAGACGGAGGTGTGGTTGCCGCGATCTCATCATAAGCATAAGAAACTGGAGCGGAAAGTAAGTGATGCTACGAAGGAGATAGCTACAGCCATATCTTCGTTGTACAATCAGAGTAAGAAGAAAAACAAACGGAGATTGAGAAATAGTTCCAGTAGTTCAGATTCATCTCCACCTTCAGTACATTTTATACAATCACCGGATACACAGGACCCACAACAAACGGTTGCGCCACCACCGCCTCCTCCACCTCCGCCGCCGCCTCCTTCTATGTTCCAAAATCTGTTCAAAAAAGGTAGCAAACATAAGAAAATTCACTCCGTTACTGCAACAATTCCACCAAGAGTTCCTCCACCTCCACCACCTCCGCCGCCGAGCTCAATCTTCAACAACTTATTCAAATCCGGCGGCAGCAAAAGCAAGCGGTTTCATTCACCTTCAACCGCTCCTCCACCACCACAGCCTCCGCCGCCGCCATCTTCAATCATGAACAACTTATTCAAAAACGGAACAAAGAGTAAGCGTTTCAATTCCTCTAATACTGCTTCCTCACCTCCACCGCCACCTCCACCACCACCGCCGATGACACCACCAAGATACATCACTCCTGTAAAATCAAAAAAAGTGTCTAAGCGTAGAAGTCAACCTCAACCTCCATCTCCTCCGTCTCCACCAAAATTGGAGCCTCGTAACCACAGTTCTACGAGCAAAGGCAAACCTCCCCTTCCAAAACCCACCGCCACCAGTTACTATGAAAGGGATGATTTTCTCCCGAGCGGCTCCCAGTCTCCGCTGATTCCAATGCCGCCACCTCCACCACCGTTTAGGATGCCGGCGATGAAATTCGAGCTCCGTGGTGATTTTGTCAGGTTACGGAGCACCCACAGTTCCGTCTGCAGTTCACCGGATCGTGATGACGTTGATTTGTCATCAACAACGATCGGCACCGGTTCCGGCGGTGGTGATTTAGTTGGGCCCACTTCTGGGCCAGGGCCCTTATTTTTTGCTAGTCCAGACGTCAATGCTAAAGCTGATAGTTTTATATCGAGACTTAAAGATGAATGGAGAATGGAAAAGATAAATTCATTCAAAGACAAAACGGGTTAAAGCCCATTATGAAGCCTAAATTAGAGGGAAATTCCTTTAATACCCCTACGTGGAATTTCGATCATCGACGCTTCTACTGTTTACTCGAATACGTAGTCATGTGAGACTGTACATCGTGCATTGATGGCTATGATTCTCGTAATCTCGTTGATGATCGCTTTAGCATCTCGGAGAAATTGTTAAAGTATGAAGGTTTTGATTCGAAGGCTAATATAGTAATTTCTTGCTGTAGTTAGACACTTAGCCTCCACAAGGTTTTGAAGTTTTCGATTTTGATTATACGTTTTTATTGATTTATTGATGAAGTGACTTAATCCGTACAATCTATTCTAATAAATGAAGGTCTTTTTTTACAACATGTCAAACTCTCATTTAATTTGTTAAATGTCATTTTGTAGTTATTTTGAATTAATTTCTTTTCCACGTGTCATTTTATGTGTTTTTCTATTTTAATAAATTTCATATAATACTTTAATGTAACAATTATAATAATAATAAATATAGTAATAAATGAATATCAATTTAATTAATTGACTTACCTTCTTATTTCAAAATTCTAAAATTAAAGCTCATTAGTTTATTTTGTTTATTTATTTAAATTTAAAAGATAAAAAAAAATCAATTTTAATAATTCATTATTTTTTTTATTTTCTTTATAAATCCAAAGTTCTTAAGTATTTAGACATTTATATTTATTTTTTTATAATTAACCCATGTAATACATGAGTCTTACACCTAGTGACATAATAAAATATCATCCATTTGGCTTGTGTTACTTACACATCTTCTCTTTCGACACTTGTTTTTTACATTTTGGTGGATTGAAAATAAACAAATTTAGCAATAGGTTAAGAAAGATGATGATTTTTTACAACTAGGAAAGAGGTCAGCACAAATTTTTTAATTTTTTAATTTTTTTAATTTTTTTTTTGCAGTTGCTGTTACATGAAATCTTAATGTTATAATTTCAATATTAAAAAGACAAAAATAGAAGAATAAACGTCTAAAATTTTAGACATCTTGTGTTAGATCATAAAGGGATCGGAATAACAATAAATATAAACTTAGATAGATTCAAGGATCGTGTTTATCAAACACTTTCCAAAATTTATAATTCGTCCCCTTTGTCTGGTGTACACAAATTCAGAAGTGAGATAATCAAAGAATAAACCAATCTGAATTACAGACCTAATTCAAATTGAAAACACAGAATACTTTGTTTGATGTGTTCTTGAGAGATAAAGAAATTATGATATAATTTCGAGTATATGAATGTTCAACCCTTTTTTCTGGAACCAAATAAAAGTTCTTATACTAAAGGGAAAAGTGGTTGAATCGGTTAAACCAAAAATGGCACCAAAACATGATAGTTATTGGACACAACCGATACCTCCATCATCATGATGTCATCAGTGGGTTTTTGGTGGGAAAATGCATGGCTGGAGTCTCACTTGATACAAAAATCCGTTTAGGTTTCGGGGCGCTACCCCGAGACCTGCCAGGGGCGCCGCCCCTTGGACCCTGCTGGGGGAGCTACCCCTAGACCCCACCAAGGGGATGCATCCCCTTCGAACCCTGCACCCAGGGGCGCTACCCTCGAACCCCCATATTCCCGAGTTTACATTTATCACACTGAGTGTGCACCCCGCACCTCCAAACTCGGTTAGTAAATTGAGTTTGACCTATCTCATTATTAATAATAATTACACCAAAATATGTTGATAACACTAAAATCACCAACATCTTGAACAATCAATAATTCAAAAAGATACACCATAATTTTAATTACAAATCAACCACATCATTATTTGTGAGTAAACGTGTCATATAATCCAAAAGAATTGAATAAAAGAACACTTTATGACAGTTGAAATATAATTATATAAACTAAATACAAATAACTCAACTTGAAGAGTCATTTTCTTACCCATCTTTGCTTTTATATCCTAAAAAAACAAAATTTTGTAACAAATTAATTTAATGATTTAGAGAATCATGAAGTGAATAATAATAATAATAATAATAATAATTAATAATAATAATAATAATAATAATGTATCACAATATGAAGAGGAATCCATCAAATATTCCATCTGATTACAAGAAAATGTCATAATTAAAATAAGTCACATGATAAAAACTGTTATGAGAACTTAAAAGGTATAAAATGCTAAAAATTTGGAGATCTGTAGTCCTAAAAAGTTTAATGTCTTTGTATAAAGTTTTAATTTGTAGTCCTAAAAAGTTTAATGTCTTTGTATAAAGTTTTAATTTGATATGTATTATATTTAACCTTGGGTGGAGTATCTTTATGTATTAATCTTTTACATCATATACCCAAGACACTAAAAACAACATTACAATCAATGTTTTGGTTTTTTTAAAACCAATGTAATTAGACCCAGAACATTAAAATATGTCACTAACCAAAAATGGACCTGTTTAAAATACAAATTAGATCAAAATATATAGGTGAAATTCTACAACTATTATATATGTCAAAAAAGAAAATAGTCAGTGAAATACAAATCAGTTGACCATTTTGAGGGAATGAGATTCAGCTTTAAATCTTTTTTTCCTTTCCCAAACATATAAAAAGTTATTCTCCATGAACTCAAATTTAAAGGCTCACTAATGCCTACTAATTGTCCCATATGCAGGAAAAAGAGAAAATAAATTTATTAACAATTGGATTTGAACCCACACAATTGACCTAAACCATCATGTTAAACGAATTCATCTCAACTTTTGATTATATAGTTGAACTGTAACAATAATATAATCGTCCATGAGCCATTTATACATGCTTCTGAAGGGGACTTCATATGGATATTTTTGGAGCTTGCTTCATGAATATGTGGAATTAATAGAAGCTGGTCAATTTCTTAGATCAATAATCAACATAAGATTAATGGCAGGTGGCATGAGAAATAAACAACAATAATATTCTTTGGAAATGTTTCAAATAAAAGAGAAAATGTAATACTTTCATCTCATGAGATATACAATCCAAAATACTCTTTAGAAATCAATGATTCAAATACCATACCATTTTGAGACCAATAATTCCAATATACAATCCAAAATACTCTTTGGAAATGAATGTTTAATTACCTATTTATAATACCATTTTGCAACCAATAATTCCAATATATTATCCAAAAATACTCTTTGGAAACTAATGTTTTAAAACTAGATCTGATACCATTTTGAAACCAATAATTCTTTAATACTATTTGGAAGCCAATATTTCAACATATAATCCAAATTACTCTTTAGAAATCCATTTTCAAATATATAATCCATGCCAAAAACATATTCATAGACATATAATATGTTTATGCTATGATGCAATACATTTTAATGCAATGCATGGATTTAAGCACATGGTCATGTGAAGCGGCCTACCCGAGTCACTCTAGTTTCCTTTTTATCCAACTAGGTGAATACCTACGTGTTACATGAGAAGATAATTATAGTTAAAATAATAACTCTTAACAAATTGATATTTAATATTTCTATTTGAAACAATTGTCAGTAGTAAAGAAAACTGATAGTTAACCTATTAGTTTTATTAAACATCATGGTTTATAAATCATTGATGATGTATACCATTAATTAATAATTTTATAGACCGTTTAAAGTTGTGCAAATTATATATCAGAAGTATGAAAAAAAACAAATACTACAACTTTTAATAACATAAAAACACTAAAACATCTTTTATAACATTTGTATTAAAAAACTTATTAAACACTAACAAATCGTACAAAAAGAATATACATAAATCAACCTACATTTGATATATAGATACATTAGTATCCCAAGATTCAACAAAACTAATTTTTCTAACTCTTCATATTCGAATCACAAATCTCTTCAAACAAATGAATGTTTTTTTAGGAAAAAATACTTATATATAATTAATATAAGTTACAACGTGTATAAATGGGAGGAAAATATAAAGTCACTAGCTGTTACTAAGTAATAACCAAAAGCTCTTAAGTTGTAGTGGGAGTTTCAAATGAATGTATGTGTGTATATACTATATATATATACATATACATATATATATATATATATATATATATGTGTGTGTGTGTGTGTATATATATATATATATATATATATTGTAACACCTAGTTTTGGATGTTTCTTTTATCGGGATAGCATGTCGTAAATGTATTGAGTAAATGTCTTGGACTTCAAGAGAATAGAGTTTAGACCCTATCGAATGATGAAAATGTTTGGTTAAATGTTTAAAGCTCTCGAATTGTGTTTCGAAGAAAAGGGTAATATGGGAAAAGTTATATATCGGGCTTCTTGCATGGATTACGGATTTGGTCCGACATGTGTTAAGCCAAAGATAACTAGATAGGATTGTAGGGCTCGTTAATACCTTTTGTGCATATAAAGATCGTCAAAAACAGTGTTGAAACGAAGAAGTTATGGTTGTTTGAAGTTGAAATTGGAAGTTGGTGGTTTTCTCCTACACAGGGTGTTGGAAAGTTACACAAGGCGTAGTCAAGCTACGTATGGCGTGGTATGATGAATTTGGATCGTGTTTCTAATGGGCTACGCAGGGTGTAGGAAAGTTACACAAGGCTTAGTCAAAATCCTAATTCTTTAGTTTTGAGCCCTATTTAAGGGCTCAAACTTCTGGGAAATCCTCCCATGACCAACCTCCATCACCCTAGATCACTCCTTGAGAAACTCTAGCCTCCTCTTATTTGTTTTAAGCCTTGGCATATTTTATGAGATTATTTATCCATTGGAAGGTTGAATATAGAAGACCAAGGTGTTTGTAAAGTGCATGAAAGAAGGATTCAAGTATAGATCCAATAAGTTTGATTCAATTTCTGGACCATTGTGAGTAAAAAGCTTCAAACTTGCTCATCGGTTTCATAAATCTTGTTAATTGTCATATTTGTCACTTTTTGGTCCCTTTATCTTGTGTTTTGGGAGTTGAGGCAACTCTAACACCTTTTTGAGGTATATAG